GAAATATTTAAAGGAAAATTCAAGAATTTAAATCCAAGCTAAAAATTGAAGTGAATATAAATTGAAAAAATGGGTGATCCATTGAAAAGCCAAAAATCTTGAAGAACTTGGGAATCTCCCCAAAAAGGAGGAAATCATGTGGGCTCAAAAGGCTATAGTGAATAGGTTGTCTCATGGGGATAGGAATACAAAATATTCCCATGTTGTTACCATGAATAGAAGGGCAATGAATAATATTATGAAATCGAAAGATGAAAATGGGGATTGGCATGACAATTAAGATGATATTAATCAAATCATGAATCAACATTTTATGGAAATATTGAAAACATCATCTATAACAAACATCGATGATTTCCTCAATTGTTTGGAAGTCAAAATAGATGAAAATGAGAATAGGGAGTTGGAGAAAGAGGTGCCTAAAGAAGRAGTGAAGGAAATCCTATTCCAAATGACTCCAAAGGAGGCTCCAGGTCTAGATAGATTTCCAAATTTATTTTTTCCATAAACTCTAGTATATAGTAAGCTCAGATGTCACAAGTGCAATTAAGCAATTCTTTGAAATGGGACACATGTTGAATGAGCTAAACAATACTTTCATGGTTATAATCCCAAAGGTCAAGAGCCTAGAGTTTCCAACTCACTTTAGACTAATAAGTCTTTATAACACTATGTATAAAATAATTTCAAAAATTATAGTAAACATGTTGAAACCTTTGTTAAAAAAAATAAATAGTGAGCATCAGAGTGCCTTTACACAGGAAGACTCATCCAAGATAATATCGTGGTTTCCCATGAAATTGTTGACTACATGAAGAATGACAAAAGGAAAAAAAATTGATGGTTGTGAAGCATGATATGAGCAAAGTTTATGATAGGGTCGAGTTGCCCTTTCTAAAGCAATTGCTTCAAAGTTTGGGGTTCAGAGAGAAATGGACTACTAGGTCATGGAATGTATTACCACTATAAGATAAAGGGGTTTAAGACAAGGTGACCCTCTACCCCCATATTCATTTCTTTTTATTTCTAAAGCTATGTCAAGTAAGATAAAAAAATCTAGAGGGAGTGCCCTACACACACACACACATATATGCAGATGATAGTTACCTATTCACCATGTCTAACCCTAGTGAATAGTAGGTCATTCTGAAACACATTTCAAGCTTATGTGAGAAATTTAAGCAAAAAGGTAAATCTTACAAAATCCGAGGTCTTTTTCAATAGAAATTTACATCCCAAACTTTAGAAAATGATGGCTAAGGTGCTTAAAATCAGAAAAGTAGATCACCTTTCCATTTATCTTGGCCTTTTAACTGAGATTGGGGGGGGGGGGGGGTAAAAAGAGCTATTCAATTATTTGGTGGAAAGAGCTGAAAGGAAAACTAATAATTTGTATGACCTTCTCCTCTCCCCTACAAGAAAAGAGGTCCTCCTTAAAGCTGCAATCTCATCAATACCATCCTATACCATGTCATGTTTTTTATTGCCCAAGTGTTTTTAGCCTTGAAAGGAATTCAAACAAAGTTCTGGTGGAATAATTCAAGCAAAACAAATAAAACTCACCAGGTCAATTGGGATGTAATTAGTATAAAGAAATGAATGAAGGTCTTTAGGGATCCCCATTGTTTTAATTTGGCTTTACTGACTAAGCAAGCTTGGAGATTGTGCATTAAAGAAAACAATTTATGGGTAAGGTTAATTAGAGAAAAATATTTAAAAAATATGCATTTTTTACCCAAATATTCCAAAAGGGGATCTTGGGGTGGCAAAGTATCTTGTCAACTATAAGAAAGTTGGTTCAGGGCTGCTGCTAAGCAATCAATTGGGAACAAGGTTAGAATTTGGAAGGATCCATTGCTTCCAAAGATTCCAGATTTAGAACTCAGGGGCTAAAACCAAACAATACTAGCCTAAACTTAGCAAAGGATCTTATTCTTGAGGATGAGAGAAGATGGAATGAACGTTTAATAACACAAAATTTCCCTTAATGTCTATGCTTCAAATATTCTCAATACCCCTTTGGCTGTTGGAAAATAGCTAGACAAGCTTTGATGGAACCTTGCAGGAAATGGTAACTTCTCAGTCAAATCAGCCTATTTTGTTGCAAAGTTAGTGGTAGGAAATCAAGTTGAACCCCAATAACAAATAGTTCTTACTGGAATGGCTTTAGAGAAGAAGCATTATAAGCATATTTGGGATTTAAAAGTAGACCTCAAAGTGAAATCTTTTCTATGGAAATGTTGTTCTAATGCCCTAGTTGCAAAGGAAAATCGTGAAAAAAAGGTATAGGTCTGTTTTTCTATGCCCAATCTTTAATATGAGTGATGAATCTGATATGCATGCTCTGTTTTTCTATGCCCATGCTAAAACTTCATGGTTTACCAGCTATTTAAATGTTAAAAGATAAAACTTCTATAACCCAGATAATGATGTTTGTTGCAAAATGGGCAATAGAAAAGAAGAGGAATATAGTTTGGCTATTTAAATGTTTCTCGATTTATTTATTATGGATAATATGGAAAAATAGAATTTAGTTCTCCCTCAAGACTGCCAATCTTCTTCCTAATTTACTGATCTCTTAGGCTCACTTTGGAAGGAGTATAAATACAAATTTGTAGAGTACAAAACCTTGCATTTTATATTATTTTGTATGTATTTATACTATACATATTTGTGTTTGTTATCTTTCCAAACTGAGCTTTAGGTGAGCAATTTTTTTGAACAATCCTAGAACAATATAGCCTCAAAGTTAATTTGGATGGAAGTTTTTTTTGGATGTGGGAAAAGCTAGGTTTGGAGTGATTGTTTGGAATCATTTTGGCTTGGCAGTGGCAGCTTCTTCTGATCAAGCTCTAGTTTCTTTTCCGATACAAGTGGAGGTAGTGGCAATGGTGAAATGCTTGGAGCTCCATAGTTGTTTAAATCCTCATAAGGCTATTTTGGAAAGTGATTGCTCAAACCTTATTCAAGCTCTGAAGTTAGGATCAAGTGACAGAGCTCGGGATGCCTTGTTTCTATACAAAGATGTTTTGAAACTTACAAAAAAATTTGAATGTGACTTTTAGTTTTGTAAATAGATATTTGACAAAGTTGCCAAAAAGCCTAAAGAGGCATAGTGTTTGACTGGTTGTTAGTCATTTGGATCTCAATTTCTTTTTGAATAGTTGTTTAACATGTTGATACATATCAGAATCCAATTAAAATACAATTGCATCCAAATCCTACAAAGAAAGCAGAAAGCAAAATTACTGAATTGTCATCATTCTCATTAGTTACAAATTCGGCTTGTGATATATTACTACTATTTGAGTATGGATCACATAACGTGGGCTTGGGCTGTTGAGGTCAATTTGGTGGGTTTGGACTTTGGAGTTGATGGCTCCACAAGTAATATTTTTTTTTAAGACAAAAATATTCTAGTAGATTCTCAGTTGTATAATTGTAACTATGAGTGAAGGGTAATTTTGTATTTTTAGCAAGGCAAAGGACATGCTGATGTTTATTGGAGAGTTATCAATGGGTCGGTCCGGTTCTAGACAGGGTAAAACCATTCCAAACCGATGAGAAAAATCTCTGTTCTGGTTCCGAATCAGACCCGAAAGGGGTCTACAAATTCAAGCCTAGAACCGAACCGACTACTGTTAATTGGAATAATCGGGTCTGCCCGATAAATCCCGATTATGGTTGAARGTATGCATTTAAAAGCAAGACTGAACAGAGGAAGTTAAAGAATAGAGATTTGAACAAGGTAAATTTTCCCAAATTCATAACTACCACCTTAAGGTTTTGATCTCTATATATTTGCATTTGTATTCCTTCCAAACTAAGCGTAAGTAACTTGGTTGGATCTCAACTATAGATGCCATCAATACCATTGCTGTGAACCGTTGATGCTGCCTCTATTGCTGCTGCTGTTGTCACGACTCACGAGTGGAGAATAAGAGGCCAAAAATGGAGAATTGAAACTTGAAACCATCGGAGAAATGAGGAGGAATGCAGCTGAGTGGTAAGGTTTTCCCCTTTTTAGTTCAATTGTAGGCATTTAGGCCATAAAATTACATTTATATGTCATTATTATATTACTTAAAAAGCCAAGATACTTAATGTATGTAAATATTACTATCGGTTTGGGTCTAATCGGTTCAGGACAGCAAAAACCAGTCTCGACCCAATATTAATTGGGACAAAATATTTGGAACCAGAACCAACCTAATGGGACATCATGTGAAACCAGGTCCGATATAATTGGTTTGGTTATGTTGGGTAGCCTGACCCATTGACAACCCTATTTATTGCTGTCGGAATCAGTTGAGACATTGTGCGTGTTAAACGTTCATGCACAAGTTAGCAACGTATTTTTCTAGGGAGGAAGGAGCTGATGAAGATTATATGCAGTGTTTTAGAAACCAATCTAAAGGTCGAGCCATTTTTGTCTCCATGTTGTGGGTCGTTGGTTCAATTGTCTAGGTCAAACGGGTTAGATCGTGCTACGTTAACATCTACATATATTTTAAGTGCATGCATATATATATATAATGTATAACTATGAATTATGTTTTAGATATGATATATGTATCGTTTTATATTTAATTTATATTTTAAATTTAATTTTAATTTCTATTTAAAAAATTGTCAAAAATTGTGATTTAAGACTAAAAAGAGGTTTTTCTCATGAAAATAGTGGGGCACTTTGGGATACATAAATCTCAAAAAATTATCAAAAATGAAAAAACATTTCAACCAAATATTAGATTGGCCTCCTGAAATTAATATGCAACCCACAACCCATTATCAGCTCGACCAGGTCAAAGGTCCAACCGTACGAATTGGAATGTTTTGATCAAATTAACAGATTTTGACCTTTCTCCAGAGTTTATTCAAACCGGACCCAGAATTTTAACCGGGTGATAGTTCAAACGGTTCAGCCGACTGGTCAACGGCTGGTTGAAAAACACCGAGTATATATGCTCGTTACAAACTTACAATTTACAAATGGGAAGCGGTGTTTGAAAAGCGGACAACCCCTGACAACGTCTCTGAAAAACCTTTTTTCCTTAACTACTCTTTCACTCCTCTCTGGCTTCGGCTGTTCATGGCGATCGCAGCTGCAGCTGTTGTCGTTCCTTTGGGTGTCCTTTTTCTTTTCTCTGGCATCGTCGTTAATATCATTCAGGTAAGAGAGAATTGATTCCCCGCGTTTCTTCTTCTTCTTCTTGAAAGCTCTGGTTTAATAATCCTCAGTGTCGATGATGTTATTTTCGATTAGGGATAAGTTTTATGACTTTTGTCTGAGCTACACTGGATGGTTCTCTTAGGGATTATTCTCTTGCATTGGTTAGGTTAATGGGTCGGGGTTGTTTGGGGCTGTTATTTTTTGTTTCAAATCTTGCTCACTGGATCGTTTTGCTTCAAATATTGCTATATTTTTGTTTTTCTGTGCTTGACTTCGTTTTACAAAATGTGGGGTTTGAATCGTTTTAATACTTTTTCATCTGAGATTCGAATTTAGGGTTGTCCTTGGTTTCTTGCATTTGGTTGTGGGTTTTATTTTGTTTTCACAGTGCATTTTAATGCGACAATTTGTTGATTTTTGTCATACAATTCCGAATCCTTTTATTTTTTTATCTCGTTCAAATTTCGTTTTGCTTTTTTTATTGCATGTTTATTTTTGTTCTCTGCGTCATTATTACTTAGTTATTTTTCATTACTTTAATACTGATTTTAAATTCTTAATTGTAGAATTTCTTGGTACTGTTTTTTCTTCTTGTTGGACTACGTGGGTCTGTTTTACTTACTTTCTTTTTTTTTTTTTTACACCGGTCTCTCTCTCTTTCTCTCTCTCTCTCATACACACACACACGCACGCTCCAGGCAGTATGCTTCATTCTTGTTCGTCCGCTGTCGAAGAATATGTACAGAAGGATCAACAGAGTGGTGGCAGAGTTGCTGTGGCTTGAGCTTGTGTGGCTCATTGATTGGTGGGCAGGAGTTAAGGTATTCAACAACTTGCCATTATATTCTATTTATCCACAAATGACTTTATTACCGTTCATTATCTTTTTCCAATGTAGTCTTATTCCTTTCTCGCGTAATTATAATGACTTATCAAAATAAAATTCATGCTTGGATGTTCTCTGAACTCTGATCGTTTGTTGAATATGTTGTGATTCCACATATATTTTATTGTCTGATAGCTAGTCTAGATACCTACCTAGGTTGCATTTGCAGACCTACTTAAGGTAATTTAACATAAGTTAAAATGTTAATCTGGTGTTTGAATGTAATATGGAAGTCTATAGAATTAACTCGCTGAGTGGCCTTTTCTTGGTGTAATGGTAAAATCTCAGTCTGACAAGCGTGAGAATGTGTGTTGGTTTCTTTTTTTTTGACAGATGAGAATGCGTGTTGGTTTCTGAGTGGCCACTTTGTGCAGAAAATGCGAAAAGTATATAATATTTTAGCCATCATTGTAAAAGCCAGTAAAAATGAATAAGTAATAAGAAAATTAATATTTAAGATCAAATATAACACATTCATAAAAAACAAAAGTAAAAAACAAATGATCAAACTAAATACTTATTAAAATAAAATAAAATGCATAAATGATTTTTATAATAAAAATATTAAATTGTTTGTATCATTTATATGATTTAATAAAAATAAAATGCCTATCTCCTCATTTATCTCTTTACCTGAAGGGGAAGCATGGGATTTGGGCTTTAGAAGAGGTCTAAGAGATTCTGGGTGTCCCCTAGTCACTAATTTACTCCAAATCCTAGAGTATGTCGTTGTTGGTCCCCTTATCTCTGATGAGAGAGTTTGGACCCTCCAACCCTAGAGGGGTCTTCTCTTGTGCTTCCTTTTTGGTCTGGTGGGTCCTCTTTCCCTGTGTGTGAGGTTTGGTGTAAACCAGTTCTGTTAAAATAGAGGCTTTCTGTTGGGTGGTTTGTCATGGAAGAATCAATACTTTGGATATTTTACAAAAAAAAAAAAGAAAATTGTATGCTTTTCCCCCAAACTGTTGCATACCCTGTAAGGCACATGGTGAAACTGAACACCTTTTTATCTGTCTCTTTTTTTTAATCAGCCATACCTTTTCATCTGTTGTCCCTTTGTTACCTCTATTTGGAATTGGTGCTTCTTCTCTCCTTTTGGAGACTTTGTTTGCAGGTGCAACTTTCAGATGGCCAAGGAAGTGAGGAAAAGTTTTATGGAGGTGCACTAGGGCTGCTTTGCTGTGGACTGTTTGGGAAGAAAGAAATACACAAATCTTCAAGGAGGAGGAAAGACATTTGGAAGCTCTTATGGATTGCATCCAAGTAAGGGTGATACATTGGATTGAATCTTTGGATCTGTTTTCACCTTATACTGTTAACGATATAAAAAGAAATTGGTGGGAAGTGGCCTCTTTGTCTATCAGAAAAGAGAAAATCATTGTACCTTGGACACCACCCTCGGAAAGCTTTATCAAACTTAATTTTGGTAGAAGCAATCTCAATAACCTAGGTTCTTCAGGCATTGGGGGAGTCTTTAGAGATAGAGAAGGGAATATATCAGTCATTTATTCAGGTCTTGTTGGTTTAGGCTTTATCAAACTTAATTTTGGTGGAAGCAATCTCGATAACCCAGGTTCTTTAGGCATTGGGGGAGTCTTTAGAGATAGAGAAGGGAATATATCAGCCATTTATTCAGGCCTTCTTGGTTTAGGGGATTCCATTAGAGCCAAACTTTTTGCTGCACTATGCGGGGCTCAAATAGCAAAAGAGCTAAACATGGAAAGGATGATTTGGTTGTAGGAGATTCTAAAGTGGTTATTAGTTGGCTAAAGGATGTACGGAAAGCAGCATGGGTGCACTGAGAAGGAGTTAAGAAAATCTTTTGGTTTCTGAGGAGGATAACAGTGATTTATCAATGGGTTCCAAGGGAGGCAAATGGGCTAGCAGATTCTCTAGCTAGGCAAGGGGTTGATTGGAAACTGTTAGAGTTCACAGAACAGGTGTATTTTGGTCATTTGGGTTTATCTATTTGAGAGTGAAAGGTCTGTTTTATTCAAGTTTAAGTTGTGTCCCATCACTTATGAGGGACAATATGGTCTTTCTTGTAATTAAGTTTGGAGATAAATACAAGTGGGTCGACTAGAGAGGACTGATTTTCCTCTACTGGCTGAATTCCTCCTTTTCTTCTTCTTTTTTTTCTTCTTCTTCTTCTTCTTCTTCTTCTTCTTCTTCTTCTTCTTCTTCTTCTCTTCTTCTTCTTTACTGTAATCTAGGACTTAATAAGGTTTTCACATGGTATCAGAGCGAATTTAACAAGTTCAGATCTGCTTGTCTTGTTCCTTTTTTTTTTCCTGATTTACCTAGTTTTTTTTTTCTATCGCCCTCTTCTCTAGGGTTTCGTAGATTTCTCAAGAACCACTGGGAGGTTAAGGGAAAGGCTGCAAAGGAGTGATTGTTTTTCTCTGTAGGAGGCCTTCATGCCTCCAGTGTATGGTGCTGTGGCTGTTTGTGGTGATTGGTAGGAAGCTCTCTATTTGATGGTACAAAGAGAGCAGGTTCGGGTGAACAGTATTTAGCTAAGTACAGGTTGGTTCTGCAGTGTGCAGTGCAGGTGTTTGATTTAATGGCTGAGTGATTTCAGCTCTTGTATTAGGTGTGTGATGTGTAATTGAAGAAGTCARTGGTGCTGAAGTAAATTTTCTACTGATGATTTAATGTAAGTGTTATTGATAAAAAAAAGTCAGTGGTGCTGAAAGTGAGTTAAGGTTTTGTGGTGGTGCGTGAAGTTGTGTTGAATATTTGAAGGTGAATACTTTGCTTATATCAATGATTTCTTTGTGAAGTAAGGTGAATTAGTTAAAATGGCATCGACTAGAGATGGGAATGACAATAAAACAAGTGTTTTGATTTCTCCAGCTTACCTAAATGTTCAAATGACATCTATTAAGTTGAATGGTGAGAATTATGTGCTGTGGGCAAAATCTGTGGAGGTGTTTTTAAAAGCCAAGAAAAAGGTAAAACATGTGAGAGAGAAGAAGCCCTCCTTTGATTTTCTAGGGTTTAGTCACTGGGAACAGGAGTATGCACAAATAATGACATGGTTGTGGAATATCATGGAACAAAAAATTAGTGTGAACTTTATGTTCCTAGATACAACTAAAGAAATCTGGGATCATGCTAAGAAACTGTATTCCAGGCAAGACAATACAAGGGTGTATCAGTTGTACCAAGAGTACTTTAATCTGAAGCAAGGTAGTCAAAGTTTGGAGGAATACTATGCAAGTCTGAGAAATACCCGAAACGAGCTTAATGTGTATCATCCTCTGACACCGGATGTTCAGGTTCAACAACAACAGCGTAAGCAACTTGATGTGACGAGGTTTCTGGTGGGTTTGAAGGTTGAATATGAGCCTGCCTGAGCACAAATACTGGGGGGGATCTGCTCTTCCCTCACTTGAAGAAGTTTTTGCCTGTCTTAGGAGGACATCTATTGAGTCTACAGAGCATTCTTTTCTCTCAAACAGATCTGGTTTGGTGGTGACTAGAGGGGGAGGCCGTGGAAAGAGAGGTGGTGGTGGTAGCTGTGGACTTCCAGATAACTGTGATGATCCCATGTTTAACTGTGTTGGTGGATGGAGTGGAGGTCGGAACTCAGGAAGAAGTAATGCCCCTAGGAAGTGTACATACTGTGGATTAGTGGGACACACGGTTAATTTCTGCTATGATTTACATGGTCCACCCAACACTTGGGCTAACCATGATGTGACTAGGGGTAGTGGTATAGCTAGTGAAAGTCAACAAACTAACACAATCCCCTCCACATCTACTGGTGTTTCTGGGAAGGAGATGATGAGTGTACCCCATGCAGTATATGAGCAGTTCTTTCAGACATCTTCTCAACAGAACACAACTACCCTTGCCCATTCAGGTATGGCTTGTTTGGCTTCCAAGCCTTCACACTGGATCATTGACTCCGGAGCCTCAGACCGTATGTTTGGGACTCCAAATGTATTTTTTTCTCTTTCTCGGTCCTCCACATCTCAAATAGTTACTCTTGCTAATGGTTTTATATCTCTCATTTGTGGTGTTGGTGATGTTGATCTCTCCTCCTTATCTTTATCATCTGTTTTATATGTTTCCAAGTTCCCTTTTAACCTTATGGCTGTTAGTAGATTAACCAAGTCACTTAATTGTTCCATAGCCTTTTATCACTCTTCTTGTGTGTTTTAGGATCTCAAGACAGGGATGAAGATTGGTGGAGGGCATGAGGCAGGTGGATTGTATTACCTTGATGGTGGCCCTCCAGTAGCTTTTCAGTCGTCTCTTACTCATCTTCAATGGCACTACAACCTTGGTCATCCTTCTCTCAAGGCTCTAAAGTTGCTGGTTCCTTCCTTGAGTTATCTTTCATCGTTGGATTGTGAGTCGTGTTAGCTTGGGAAACATCATAGAGTCTCTTTTAGTACAAGAGTTGATAGTCGTGTCTTAAGTCCTTTTTCTTTAGTTCATTTTGATGTTTGAGGTCCAATCAAAGTCATGTCATACAATGGCTATAAGTATTTTGTAATTCGTGTTGATGACTTTTCAAGGATGACATGGATTTATCTTATGAACGATCGTAATGAATTATTCTTTATTTTTCAGAAATTTTATGCTGAAATACGTACCCAATTTGGTGCTCATATTAAAATTCTTCACTCCGATAATGCAAAATAGTACACCTCAATACCATTTCAGCAATATTTAGAGCACCATGGGATAATTAATCAAATTTCTTGTTCCTACACCCCACAACAAAACGGTGTAGCTGAACGGAAAAATCGACATCTCCTTGAAATTGCTCGGTCTATGATGCTTAATATGAATGTCTCAAAGCGTTTTTGGAGTGATGCTGTCCTCACATCATGTTTTCTCATTATTCGGATGCCCGTGTCCATCATTGGTAGTCAATCCCCCTTCTTGGTGTTGTTTCCCACCTTGTCTCCGTTTCCTCACCTT